GAACCAATACTTGTTTTAAGGAAATAAACCAAATTTTAAGGCACATTGGTTATTGCATTCATTATCGAATTTTGAACCCAATGTGTTGTATTGTGTTGTATTGGCTTAGCGAGTACAATTGTATCGCATCAAAGCTGGCACAGTATATGTTGGTTCATCTCAATCGTGGACTCATTCACCCGGCGAAATAGAAAGAATTAGCTCTGAAACGTCGTGACAAAGAATAAAAGAAGTTGCTAACCATAAAAAGCGTCATGTAATTATGTTCTTTTAACGTCTAAATACCTATCAAATACTTAATGGACTCATTGGTGTCACTAAAGGTTCACAATTCACAACGTGTCTCATGTCTAACCAATTCCGTGTGTGGATGGCGTGGACACGCTTTGAAAGAGTAATGAGTCGTCACTGACATACAACAATCAGAATTTGACACCTTAAGAGACGTCTGTCAGTGTGAAAAGGTAAATATAATCAATTGCATTGAATTTAACGAGACTGTCCATCACATTGTCAGTGGATGCCCAGCTTTGGCACAAACACAGTCTCTTAAGCGACATGATTAAGTGGCTCGATCATTGTACATGTAATACCGTCTTCGCCATGCTTGCGGTTTTGACACAGAGGTCCTTCCATGGTACGACCCAAAATATGTTGAGGGCGTCATGGAAAATCATTCATATCATTGTATTTTCTGTCCCCTTTGACACTAATGTGATTGACAAGATTGAGGAAAAACATGGCAAATATGCGACCTCGCTTTCGAAATGTCACGCATCATCCCAAGTACCAAGTTGTACTCCCCATTGTTCTCGGTGCCTTAGGTTTGGTACCTCCCAATCTGTTGACTGGCATTGGGAGAGTACCCGGGTTTGCTGCCAGCAATACAGCCCTTCTGACAATCTGGGTAATGCAGAAGGCTGCATTGTTGGGGAGTCTTCGCATTCTCCTAAAAGTTCTGGGTGGGTTTGACTAGGCAGCGCTTCCTGGGAGAAGTCCCATTCGCTGTCTGGGCTGCGTGTAGAGGGGGCAAGGGCCCTGAGCTGATGATGAGCCTAACCAGCCTGACTGTGCCAGGATCACCCAAACCCTCTTTGCTGCATTTTTTATTTTAATCTGTAAATAATAATAATAATAATAATAATAATAATAATAATAATAATAATAATAATAATAAACGTTCCATATTCATAACGAGTTGATTGTACGGTTACTCCATGTCATGAGTATGTGCTTATGAAAGAAGCCGGCTTTTTAATAAATGGTTCAATTCAACAATGACGGGGAATACTTAGCAGAGCTATTGTGTTTTGATACATTAGATTCGCCACTTGGTGACAGTATTTGTAACTCTATATTATCCTGTTTTCGAATAAAACCAGTGTGGGGGTGTATTGTTTTCGTGTCACTACATTTAGTCGTTGTATTCGACTAAGGTGTAGTTCGCTTAAGTACGGTTGGTCGTGATGTTTGACTTGAATGTTGTCCATTCCACTACAGTTAGTCATATTCGACATAATTTTAATCTTTTTTCTGCAGTTAGTAGTTTTATTCGACTTAAATATACTTAGATTCAGTACAGACGGTCGTTATATTCGACTTATTTATGTAATTCGTTTTGCTACAGTTGGTGTTATGTTCGATTTAAACATCGTACCTTTCACTACAGTTCGTCGTTATGTTAGATCGGTATATTAAAAAAGTCAACGCCAGAGAATACCCCATCCCGAAACTGATTACATAGATCGCGATAGAGGCGATAGATCATCATTGGTTTCGTTGTTGTTCGTATTGAGAAGAAACTGTTTTTATCTAAATCGTGTGATACACATTAAGATTTAGCTTTTTCCTTGATCACGAATTCATGTGACATATTCTTGCTTCATTTCCTTTTAATGGGACTAAGAACCGCGATGAACAGGAATAATGTTGAATATTTATCTATTAATTCACACTATATTGCCCCATTGCGTGAAAAGTCTGTTTCTATTATGAAAATGACAGTGAAAAAAAAGTCATAAAACTATCAATAAATCCAACCTTTGTGCATTAGCAAAGATTTACATTCATCCTAATCTGAACAGTATCCTTTAAAATCTTGAAATAAACGTCATAAGACAATTATTGACAAATTAACAGTCTGAGTGCCAGGACTCTTTTTTTATATACGAGTTTTTCCGGAAGAAATAAGTACAGTAAACTACGGTTATAAAGAACACGCTTATAACGAACTGACGGTTATAACGAATTATTTTTTTGGTCCCGGCCATTGGCTGTATATATGCTGTATGTCTGCTTATAACGAACTACGGTTAGAACGAACTAAAATTGGCCGCCCCTTTGAGTTTGTTTTAATCGTAGTTTACTGTAAGTAATATAGGTGTGTAAGTGGGTGAGTAGATGAGTGAGTGAGTGAGTATGGTTTTACGCCGCTTTCAGCAATATTCCAGCAATATCACGGCGGTGGGTGAGTAGAAGAACGCATCTGAATTGAAGCCGAATTATCATCGTTAAACATGTTCTAAATAAAGGAGGCAACACAATTTCAATAACCACAGGAAATCAGTTTATGCTGTTTCAGAAAAGATGGGCCAGTTGGCTATCGCACAGGCCCGTTGATACAAATAAGAATTACTTTATCCTAAAAATGTGAGCGAGTGAGTGATTTTGGTTTTACGTCGCTTTTAGCAATATTCAAGCAATATCACGGCGGGGGACACCAGAAAGGGGCTTCGCACATTGTACCCATGTCGGGAATCGAACCCGGGTCTTCGGCGTGACGAGCAAACGCTTTAACCACTATGCTACCCCACCGCCCCTCTAAAAAGGACAGTTAAGACATCGAGGATAGTTCATGTGTCGAGAGAAATATCATGTTTCTCTCACCGAGTGACGGGGGGAAAGGAGATATTTTCTAGAGTGGCGTAGCCGCGAGGAAAAATATGTCCTTTTTCTTTTCCCCATGTTTTGATGCCATGCATTGTACTAGCCTTCGTAAAGATCATTGTTGCAAATTCAGTACCAACTTCTTCGATCCTGGTTGCCGTTTCACAAAGTGATCTTAATTAGCGCTAAGCTGAGCGTAACTCAGATACGTTAACAGAAACAGAAACAGTTTATTTCTCTCAAAACCACCGGTGGTGGTACAAAAGAGTACAAAAGAATAAGCATTTAAACTTAAAGTAGTATAATTTCTGTTTTGTGTTTTTGTACTGCTTTAAATATTTCATCGATTTATCTCGATAATTATAGGTTCTTAAGGTCGCTGTCTTTTTGACTGTACAATAACCTCTTAAATGTATACAAATTAGACCATTTCTTCTGGTAAGCAATTGGCAAGAAAACAAGTCTATGTTTAGACAGAGCCTTGCATCTAAAACAGATAATGAAATTCATAGACTTACGACAGCCGTAGCACTAAGGTTGTTTGTAGAAGGGCGCCCTTGGAAATATTTGTTATCTCATTGATTAGGTCTAAGTAATCTCAAACCGGAGTAAAATGTCCCTTCATCGTACAAAGGCTTTGGGGTGGTCTTTTGTGTTTCAAGCATACATGTATATTTTGATGAAAGTCAATTGGTGCGTATTGTCAACTGTCGCGCAGATCAATCACAAGCTGGTCTGTATGACATTGAACGTGTGAACTGTGTAAACAATACTAAGAGCATCATTCATATTTGAACAATGCAGTACAGGTAGTTCTAGAAAATTACAGTGGTAGAACGGAAGTTACCATTTTCAGGATATAATGCCGCAATGTTTGTGTATATATTGATCTCTTTTTAACAATCAACATGCTACCCATTGTAGCCTTGAGCGAAATAAAATTCAGTTCAGTTCAGTCACTGCTTATAGAGAGTGAATGAGTGAGTGAGTATGGGTTTACGCCGCTTTTAGCAATATTCCAGCAATAACACGGCGGGGGACCCCAGAAATGGGCTTCACTCATTGTACCCTTGTCGGGATTCGAACCCGGGTCTTCGGCGTGACGAGCGAACGCTTTAACCACTAGGCTACCCCGCCGCCTCTCACTGGTTATAAGGCGTTTCATCTGTTGAATATATATTTTCTGACATTACTCTACAAACAAAACCATTATCATGACGTTACGTTATTGCCGTTGAATCTGAACGTGCATTTTGAACAAGTAAATGATGCAACTTGGTCATTAGGCCCTCTTATAGAGAAATCAAGTATCAGGGTGAGTGAGTGAGTTGGGTTTAACGCCGCTTTTAACAGTATTCCAGTTATATCACGGCGTGTATGCTTAATGTGGGAGGAAAGCCCGAAGTGATGCAGGTCTCAGACGTTTACCACGAGCACGGGTATGGTGCTGACAAACCTAGCAACATAATCGGGGCGAACCGGGATTCGAACTTACAATCATAGGTTTCTGGCGTGCCCAAGGGACGCAACTCTGCACAGCGAATCGCGGCGCCTTAGACGACTGGGCCACCCGTGCCCCCTGATCAACCGTAGAAAAAAATAGAATGTGTTGATTCTGGCAGTAGGATTAACAAGGCCCGGAATCAACAATATGGGCGGTCCGGTAGCCTAGCGGTTAAAGCGTTCGCTCGTCACGCCGAAGACCTGGTTTCGATTTCCGACACGGGTACAATGTGTGAAGCCCATTTCTGGTGTCCCCCGCAGCGATATTGCTGGAATATTGCTAAAAGCGGCTTAAAATCATACTCACTCTCACTCACTCACTCACTATTGCTCCAATACGGAACATTCAAAAGCCACGTCATAAAGTGTTGATTAGACGCAAACAACTTATAACGATCGGGGGAACGTGAGGTGTTTGCATTCGACGCAGAAACATGCATCGCCCATGACATATTTTCACTGAGAAAGGTTGGTCTAAACTGGCAACTGCTGCGGTGTGTAATATGATCATCAGGTAACAGAAGCATATAGCAGTGCGTGTGATACGCTTAGGCATGTATTGCTTGTGACAGACGGACAAGACTGAGAGAGGTTAAACGTTAGATACTTGCCCAATCCAGGAAACAATCTACCTTCATCTCCGTAATATTCTCTGCAATCTCTATCGGGACCTGAGAATATAAAATTAAATATACATGTATGCATGCCTGTAAGAAAATTGAAGTAATTTGTTAGGCATTTTCTATGGCATTGAAACATGTGGACGAATGGTGTTTTATGTTGACACTGTTTCAGTTATAACGGGTGGGACAATCGTCTACAGCGCCGCATTTCATGGCACAGTTGCGTCCCTTTGCACGCCAGGAACCTATGATCGTGGGTTCGAATCTTTTTCGAATTATTTTTCTAGGTTTGTCAGTACCATACCTGTGCTCGTGGGCTTCACCACAGTGATACAGGTCTACGACCCGCTTCACTGCGGGCTTTCCTCCCAAGTCAAGCCGTGATATAACTGGAATAATTATTACTCACTCACTCATCCACTCACTCAACCATCTTCCCGTCCACAAAACCCACTCACTCACTTGTAATATTAAGTGACTAAGTGACTGAGGGACTGAGTATGGTTTTACGCCGCTTTTAGCAATATTGCAGCAATATCACGGCGGGGGACACCAGAAATGGGCTTCACACATTGTACTCATGTCGGGAATCAAACCTGGGTCTTCGGCGTGACGAGTGAACGCTTAAACCACTAGGCTACCCGACCGCCCTGTAATATTAAGTTATCATGGGGTGTCAATTCAAAGTGTTCGAAAAGGTCACAGCCCTTTAGCACTTTTTAAAGCCCACGAACCTTTGGAGTTGGGGCGGTGTGGGTTGAGAGTGTTGTTTCTATAGTGTCATGCATAACACTGTAATTTGTTTATGTCAATGCTAAGATACGTGTGTTCCCGTTTCGAATGCAGGCACGTGAGTGTCGTATGAGTGAGTGGGTGAGTTTGGTTAAACGTAGCTGTTAACAGTATTACAGTTATATCACGGCGTGTCAGCTTAATGTGGAAGGAAAGCCCGAAAAGATGCAGGTCTCAGACGTTCACCACTTCGGTGAAACCCACGAGCACGGGTGTGGTGCTGACAAACCTAGAAACATAATCGGAGCGAACCGGGATTCGAACTTACAATCATAGGTTTATGGCGTGCCCAAGGGACGCAACTCTGCACAGCCAATCGCGGCGCCTTAGACGACTGGGCCACCCGTTTTCATATCTAAAGTACCTTATCATATATGACCATTGATCTCGCCATCGATGAATTACTTAGACAATGCTTCAGAGCGTAAAGGTCGAATATGCTTTTCGTAAGAGGCGACTATCGGGTAGTCGGGCTCGCTGACTTGGTTGATCTGAATTGCGTAGATCGATGCTCATGATATTAATCACTTGATTGGCTGGTCCAGACTCGATTATTTACAGACCGCCGTCATATAGCTGGAATATTGCTGTGTGCGGCGTTAGTAAAAAAAACAAAAAAAAGCTTCAGTGACAATACATCGACATGTTAAAATACTATAAGGGTAACGCTTTTTTTCAGGGCATTATCATTTGCAGAAGCCCGAGGTCTTTCATTAACTGCCCGACGAAGGAGGGGAGTTAAAAAGACCGAGGGTTTCTGTAAATGATAATGTCCTGAAAAATAGCGTGACTGATATTATTGCTAAAAATGGATGGAATTTATTATCAAATAAAAAGAAACACCATTATCGGTTTTGGCCCATTCACTGCAATCAACACGAATGTCACTGACCCACTTTTACAAATATGGAACGTCATAGAACAAACCTGATGACGTCACTATCGAACGTGACGTCACCTAGCAACGGGCGTGATAATGGCCCGTCGTCAAGCAATGTGAGGGCATTATGAAGTTACAGCGGCCCGCTCATTTCTGATAACATGCGGGCGTTTTTTTTTATATTTCTATCTATTTTAGCTATAATAATAGTTAACATTGACGCAACGCTAAAAATTTCGACTGACGTAATTAGTTCTATCCAAGAAAATACCTGGCTAAAAGAGACATTAGGGTATCAAGAAAGATTTGCAAATGTGTTTTTATTGTATTGTTTTATTTCAAATAAAGTGAACTCTATTGTCACTTGATTGTCTGGTTTGCTATGCGGTGTCAGGTAACATATACTTACTTTGTTTTGCAAAATGTTTGAGTGGCTGTTTCTACCGGTCGGCCAGGACATGCTTACCCTTATCGCGAACTCCTGGTGTAATCTGTTTCGGCTAATTATCGAGATTTGTTACTGTCTGGCGTTGACTATATATATATATATATACCGCCCGGATATTGTTGATGTCCAAAATGTTTTTGATGTCCTAGAATGTTGTTGATGTCCCAAAACGTTGTTGATGTCCCAAAATGTTGTTGATGTCCCAGAATGTTGTTGATGTCCCAAAATGGTGTTGATGTCCCAAAACGTTGTTGATGTCCTAGAATGTTGTTGATGTCCTAGAATGTTGGCGATGTCCCAGAATGTTGTTGATGTCCCAGAATGTTGTTGATGTCCTAGAATGTTGTTGATGTCCTAGAATGTTGTTGATGTCCCAAAATGTTGATGTCCTAGAATGTTGTTGATGTCCCAGAATGCCATCGGTGTCCTAGAATGTTGTTGATGTCCCAAAATGTTGTTGATGTCCCAAAATGTTGATGTCCTAGAATGTTGTTGATGTCCCAAAATGTCGTTGATGTCCCAAAATGTTGATGTCCTAGAATGTTGTTGATGTCCCAAAATGTTGATGTCCTAGAATATTGTTGATTTCCCAAAATGTTGTTGATGTCCTAGAATGTAATTGATGTCCCAGAATGCCATTGATGTCCTAGAATGTTGTTGATGTCCCAAAATGTTGATGTCCTAGAATGTTGTTGATTTCCCAAAATGTTGTTGATGTCCTAGAATGTTATTGATGTCCCAGAATGCCATTGATGTCCTAGAATGTTGTTGATGTCCCAAAATGTTGTTGATGTCCTAGAATGTTGTTGATGTTCCAAAATGTTGTTGATGTCCCAGAATGTAGGCGATGTCCCAGGATGTTCTTGATATTTCAGAATGTTGCCGATGTTTCAGAATGTTGCTGATGTCCTACAATGTTGCTGATATCCCAGAATGTTGTCGATGTCACAGAATGTTTCGGATATCCTACAATGTTGCCGATGTCCCAGAATGTTTCAGATGTCTCAGAAAGTTGCCAATGTCCCAGGGTGTTCTTGATATTTCAGGATGTTGCCGAAGTCCCAGAATGATGCCGATGTCCCAGAATGTTGTTGATGTCCCAAAATGTTGTTGATGTCCAAAAATGTTAATGTCTCAAAATATTGTTGATGTCCTAGAATGTTGCCGATGTCACAAAATGTTGTTGATGTCCCAGAATGTTGTTGATGTCCTAAAATGTTGTTGATGTCCCAGAATGTTGTTGATGTCCAAAAATGTTGTTGATGTTGTTGGAAAACAAGATGACCGCCATCGGTTTTGGTTGTCGGTCTGATATCCGTATTCAAACATTTTCTGTGAATGTAACGAAAGGCCTTCCTTGATTGTATTGAAAGTTAAGAACGACACATGCCGTAGGGTTCGAAGATCAACAAAGCCTGACCATCCATTAAGTCGCATGCACAGGTTGTTGGGGAGCTTAATATCTGTACTTGGACGCAGCGCACGTAATTCAAAGTAAACATATTAGTTTCATTTTCAAAAAAATCAGTAAACGTGCTTAAACGTGGCACTGGATTGTCTGGCCCATTAACACTTGAGTGTCTTGTCAAGAATCGTTGGCAGGCCTCTATCGTATTGCAGAAGTTCTGCATTGAGGCATTAAGGCAACAAACAATCACTTTTATGTTGTGTAAATAGCGGGTGCTACATAAACCCGGACATGTTGACCTTTTTCTTTGAACATATGGTGTCTACACTGACCCATTCAAAACTCTCAGAATGTTGTTGATGTCCCAATTTGTTGCTGATGTCCCAGAATGTTGCCGAAGTCCCAGAATGTTGCAGATGTTCCAGACTGTTGCCGATTTCTAGAATGTTGATGATATCCTACAATGTTGTTGATGTCCCAGAATGTTGCCGATGTTTCAGATGGTGCTGATGTCTCAGAATGCTGCCGATGTTTCAGAATGTTGCTGATGTCCTACAATGTTACTGATATCCCAGAATGTTGATAATTTCCCAGAATGTTGATGATATCCCAGAATGTTGATGATATCCCAGAATGTTGATGATTTCCCAGAATGTTGATGATATCCCAGAATGTTGATGATATACGAAAATGTTGATGCTATCCAAGAATGTTGCTGATGTCCCAGAATGTAGCCGATGTCCCAGGATGTTCTTGATATTTCAGAATGTTGCCGATGTCCCAGAATGTTGCCGATGTTTCAGAATGTTGCTGATGTCATTCTATGTTGCTGATATCCCAGAATGTTGATGATATCCCAGAATGTAGCCGATGTCCCAGGATGTTCTTGATATTTCAGAATGTTGCCGATGCCCCAGAATGTTGCCGATGTTTCAGAATGTTGCCGATGTCCCAGAATGTTGCCGATGTTTCAGAATGTTGCTGATGTCATTCTATGTTGCTGATATCCCAGAATGTTGCTGATATCCCAGAATGTAGCCCATGTCCCAGGATGTTCTTGATATTTCAGAATGTTGCTGATGTCCTACAATGTTGATTTTATCCAAGAATGTTGATGATATCCCAGAAGGTTTCCGATGTCCCAGGTTGTTGCTGATATCCTTGAATGTTGCCGATGTCCCAGAATGTTGATGATATCCCAGAATGTAGCCTATGTCCCAGGATGTTCTTGATATTTCAGAATGTTGCTGATGTCCTACAATGTTGATTACATCCTTGAATGTTGCCGATGTCCCAGGATGTTGTTGATATTTCAGAATGTTGCCGATGTCCCAGAATGTTGCCAATGTGTCAGAATTTTGATGATATCCCAGAATGATGCCGATGTCCCAGAATGCTGCCGATGTTTCAGAATGTTCTTGATGTCCTACAATGTTGCTGATATCCGAGAATGTTGATGATATCCCAGAATGTTGATGATATCCCAGAATGTTGCCAATGTCCCAGAATGTTGCTGATGT